GTTCAGCATTGACATGCATTGTCATCAGGAAATGTTCTTTCCAATTGTCCTCATTTCTTGTTTTTTTTGTGTGTGCAGGAAAATGAAGCAGCCATGGTAATCGTCAGTGGAAACGAGGACATTAAAATCGTCATTGACGGAACAGAGGTCCTCAGAGAGGTGCCCACAATAGCAACGGCTGTTGCTATGTTCTTCGGGCTCACCTATGTTCTCAACATAAAATATCCCAAAAATCTGCACTATACCCTTGAGTTTGTGCAAAAGGTCCTGATGAAGCTTGGTGGAAAAAAGATGTCCCCAGAAATTCATAGGCTGAGTACCCAGCTTGGCAGCCAAGAGTAGGCACAGCAGAGTTCCAATGTTAGGCCTGATTTAATGGCATTTCTACAACCAAGACTTTGTACCGTTTTATCTGGGGTTGGCGTTTGAAACACTTGCACAACTACATTTCTGCTACAGTATGGACAAAAGAATCTGCCTAAGGTTTCACAGGCACAAGTGGGTATTGTGCTGGAGAGCACTGATTTGTTTATTGCAGCATTTTCTGACCAAGAGGATCAGGAGCTACCTCACTCGTTTGCAAGTTATGGAACTGATGACGTTCACACACATCACTTTTGATTTTAAGGAATAATTCCTCTCTGACTGTATTACATTGCATTTTCAAATGGTCACTGTTCAGTGAGAAAAATGTTCCCAAATGCTGTTGGTTTACTTGAAAATGCATGTCTTCATTACTGTTTGTGTTTGAGATGTGATGGTTGAGAAGCACTGGTTTATGTTAATACAATGAGATGTTGCTGTTGTATTTGAGGGGAAAAGACATCATTGAGAAGGACTGTTTTTAAGGTGGGACTATGTTGAAAAAAATGTTAATTCAACAATAAATGTGTTGAAAAGGAATGGCTTCTGAGTTTAAATCAAAATGTATTAAAATATCTTTTTTTAATTCAGGTCTATAAATATTAAAGTATCACTTTAAATTTTTATTTGAGACAACTTAAAAAAATAGTTTTCTCCGATATTCAAAAGTTGTTTAAATGAATTTAAAATATTCAGGTTTAACAAAGTAGATTATTTACATTAAGCAATAAAACCAATGTATTTATTTTAATTTAGGAAAATCTGAAATAATTGCTTTGGTTCAACCTTCAGAAATGGGTTTACACGAAGTTAAATATTTCAGGTCAAATCAAATGAATTATTTATATTGTATAACACTAGAATATTAGTTGTGATCGATTACCTCAATTTTTCTAATTTGAGCCAATGTTAGATTTTTTTCAGTGCACACACTCCTCAGAAACATCTGGAGATGGAGTCTGAAGGCTCCATGTTAAAGCTGTCACTTTGTCACTCTCCTCTCCTTCTCTGTCTCTCAGCAGGTCATTGTAGTGATGTGACACAGAGCTGGTATCATGCAGAGGAGAACACAAACATCTCACTGGAATGGATGTTCCCCAACAAGCAGGGACCCCTCCCCCAACGCCCTTCAAGTCTCCTGTGAGATGTTAGCTCCTGAGAGACCTTTAGTTCTGTTTAATCTACATGAAGGTGTCGAGGTCCCAGAGATTCGAGATGAACGCTTTGCAGGACGAGTCCAGTGGGACAAAGACGTCCTCAGAGAAGGACGACTCAGACTTCACATCTCCAGACTCCAGACTAATGACTCGGGGCGGTACGGATGTCTAGTGGACACAAGTTATGGGAGGAACTATAAGGAATGTCACCTCAATGTCACTGGTAGGTTCATCAAGTTAAACTTACTTATGATAATGAAACAGCCCTCAAGGAGGAATTGGTTCTTTCTTTGTTGACCACTTTCAGCTGATTAATACTCCTGTATGTGCAGATGTCAACACGAGTGTATTTTGTTATAATAAAACACAGCGATTTTATCTTTAATGGAGAACTAAATTAATTAATTGAAACATCAAGATGATCAAACAGCTTAATATGCAACTCACACATTCAATGAGCCTTTAGGTTATTGTTGTTTATTTCAACATGACAATGATGTTTTCTTCACAGCTGCTAACGAGCCCGACCCAGTGACATTAGAGCCAGCACCGACTACTGGTAGGTTTATTAAGTTAAACTTTATTCAGATAAATAAACCTTTTTCTTTACATTAATAAACAGATTTGTTGTGTCTCTTTGCAGCAGTGAAGGATCGACCCGAACCTGAGACATCGAGTGACACCAGACTGAGAGAGATCTCGGAGAAGGATCGGCTCTACTGGGCACTGGGACTGACAGCAGCTCT